GAACTATTCTTAAAAAGCGGCTTTAAATTGTCTCTTATTAACCTAAAAGAATTTTTTCTTGTTTTCTTTGGGTACAAATCTTCAGGAGGTGACGGCAATGAGCCTCACGTGCCCATGGGCAGCAGTGAGCGGGGAGCTGCGTGGAAGTCCAGGCCCTGGTTCTAAGCCCCCAGTGACCTCGACGCAGCCGCTCCCTGAACTGCTCGAGAAATACTGGGCTGAGGCTTTGAGCTCCCTCTCCCGAGTCGGGGAAACACTACACGTCTGTCTGCTCTGCTGCTGGCGGAGACCCGGCTTTCCTCACTGTGCCTGACGCCACGTCCCAGGGCCACAGCTGAGTGTCCAGAAGTATCTGTCAGCCATGGGGAAGGCAGAGGATGAGCTGGAGTTAAAAGGGAGGATTTCCCGTGGGAAGCATAGAGCACGCAGGAGCAGGGCGAGAGAGCAGGGCACAGGAGCAGGGCACGAGAGCAGGGCACGGGAGCAGGGTGAGGGAGCAGGGTTAGCTCGGACTGGGGTTTCTTCAGGCACTGTGTGCTCAGCCTTATTTACAACTACACGGACAGGCAAACTGGCTCAGTTAGTAGCAGAGAGAACATGCAGAGTTGTGCACCCGGAGAGTGCACACGACACATCGCCTATCCATATACCACAGAGACCCTGCCATGGTCCGCGAGCCCCTGCCCATGAAGGTCAATTCCCAGATCACACGGTATGAGATTTGGACTAGGAGTTTCAGTCGGTTAAGGTCAATCAGGTCTTTTATATGTGTGGCATGTGTGTGTGCAAGTGCGTGTGTGTGTAGAGAAAGAGATGAGAGGGACAGAAGGAGAGAGAGAGAGATTTTTGCTATAGGGCACACACACTCACTAGAGAGAGAGAGAGACAAAGAGACAGAACGCAAGAAATTACTCTCTGGGGGTAGGGTCACACTGCAATCCCTTCTCCTCTGTTCTCCTCTGGGATTTTGGGCATGCACACACATGCACCTGGCATGAGTTTCAAGCCACCAGGCCTGGGACTCAAACTGCGGTCGGCCATGTGGGTGTCCAATTATGTAACCATTATGCCATCTGCTGGTCCCAGCATGTGCATATACTATGATGTGATAGGCAAACTGGGAGTTTAGGGAGGGGCAGAGGATGGACATTGTTTGAGTCTGACATATCAATAGTCATTTCAGATCTTGAAAATGTACACTGTTAATGTCATTAGTATCACCTATCACTGTTTGTCCATTTCACAAATCTGAATATAGCAGTTTAATTGCTTCTTATTTTTGCTCATGTATTATTGCTAAAGAATCTTGAGTATCTGTTTTAGATCTTTAGACATGTCATTTTAATCAAACAGTTATTATTGAAATTCATCAAAGCTTATTCAAGGACATTCAGACGAGGAAACTGAAATTCTAAAAACTTGAGTAATTCTCCAAAGTCATTTATCCATTAAACATCAGATGTGGGATTCAAACCTACGTCTGTGCGATGAGACTGCCTGAACTCAGGGCCCTTGGTTGCTCCTTGCTTCCCTTCCCGACCAGCTGCCTGGTGTGCACTGCACCACGAACTGGAGGTTTCGGAAGCCCTGTGCTCTGGGAGGGCTTCCATTTGGCCACCAGACTGCTGAATTGTGTGCAGAGCGGCTGAGTGTCGTGAGAGGTGCTAAAACTGGACTCGCTGGTCCTGCAGATGGCTCCTCGGGCTGGGCCGGTGACACTGGCTGGCTGAAGGCCCCCATCTGCCTCGCCCACGTCGGGCCAGTCTGCGTCCAGGACGTCTGATTGCTTCTCCTTTTCTATCTCACTCTTGTTCTCTTAAAATTGAGATGGAGTCCGAGCCCTGCCAGGGAAGCTGGGCTGCCGGAAACCTGCCTCCTGGGTGTGAGCTTCCCGGCTGACCAGCACCGGCTCTGTCTGCCGAATCGCTCTCCGCTGACTTCTCTCAGCTTCGGGCTAAGTCCACCCTTTCTGGGACCTCGCCACCCCTGTCCCTACTTGGGACCATCAGCTCTCCCCAGGGTTCCGACGTCCTCGTTAGGACTGTGCCGTGCACTGTGGACACCCACGCCTCACACGCTTGCTCCTGAGCAAGAGCAGGTGAGGAGCGGGCTCTTGGTTCAGGCTTACAGTTAATTTCCCTGGTAGACAGGCTAGTCGGCTCTTCTCAAAGACTCAGTCCAAACACGGATGGGGCCTGGTGCACGGAAGGATTGCACAGGCAGATTCAAAGGTGAATCTCGGTTTCTAGACAGGTACAGTTCAAGCAGTGTTTACGTTGTCTGGGAGTCATGCCCAGGAAGCGGGTTGGTGGGCCACCTGCTTCCTCCCGTTGCCTGACTAAGCAGGTGGAGCACAGAAGGAAGCCCTGAGGGGAGCTCTTCCGGGCCGGCAGGGTGCAGAACCCCTGGGAAGCACAAGCACAGCTTTCTCTCACCCGCTGTGGGGTGCATTCCAGTGGCCTGTCAGTCTTCCCTGAGAGTGTGACACTCAGTAGCCACCAGACCCCTTGTGCTGGCCGGAGTATCAGTCGGGGATATAGGGATGTACCCGGCCACTGTCTGGGGCGAAGTGCAATGAGCTGAGGGGTGTCTGAAGGAACAGAAGACCTCAGATTAGCACCCACACTACAGGAAGAAAAGACAGGCCCTGACCGCTCCTGGATCTGACCTGAGAGGCCTTAAGTCTTACTGAGCCATCTACACAATGGCTCCGAGTGAGGAGGACGAAGACACGGAGAAACACACTAGAGCTCGCTCTTCCTGTGCTCGCTGCACTTGCAGATGGCAACGGTAACATTTCTGTAACGTGTTTTTGGAGCTCAGAGCCAGTTATGTTTGAGTGCTACGGCAACAGAACAGAGGTGTTTGATGCCTTGCTAGCTAAACGCCATCTACGAGCCTCCTCGTTCATCTCCCCTTCACCCTCTGCCTACCCCTGCAAGGGGACACCTAGGCACCATGGTGCCAAGTTCTGTTGTAATATCGCCCTGGATTACCCGGCTCTGGTGCGGTGGTACACAACAGTGCTAATGCAACAGCAAGCATCTCCCTCCTCCTGCTTGTCTCTCCCAAGCAGTAATAAGCAGTCCTGTGTGACATTGCCTGTGGTGTGGTTGCCAGGCAGCAGACAGATCTGCAGCAGGAGGCGGGAGAGCTGGGGAAGAGGAGAGGAGAGCGAGGAGCCTGAGCCGGAGGGAGAAGGGAAGAGGAGGAGGAGAGAGGAGGAGGAGGCCGAGCAGATGGGGGCTGGGCGCTGAAACTGCTGAGCCAGAACTCCATCTCCTTGTCATCCTCGCGCTCCCAGCACCTAAGGAGCCAAAAAGCTGAACCTTAGAGGGGAGATAAAGACAGAGATAAAGCACAGAGACAGCTGAATATTGCCACTAAGTAGGGTGTCGGTAATGCTTCTTATTTTGTTAAAAATTAAGAAAGAGAGCGAGAAAGAAAGAAAGAAGCAGGGTCTTAGGTGGTTTTTTCTCTGAACTTCGCTCTCCGGCAAATGCGGCTCCCAAGTGTAAAAGCTCAGCTGCCCAGTGGCCTGCCCCGCTCTCCAGCACTGTGCGTGAAGACCTGGGGACGTGATCACAACGGGAAGGGTTAGCCCCTCCCAGGCCTCGTGGTGTGGAAAACACCACGCTGAGGAAGTACGCGACTCTGTACGGAGTCTGCAGACCTGGGAAGTGGATTTGTGCCTGAGACCCGGAGGCTCAACTTCGAGAAGCCGAAGTTCTCACTGTGAGGTTGGCTTTTGTTTATGAAATTGGAAGCCACAGCCAAACCTCTCTCTGACGTCAAGAGAATCTTGCTCTAATGAGATGAAATCCGTTGGACTGGGATCTGAGGAAGGGGTGGGGCGGACGGCACTCGGGCCCCTGCATGCTGGCCGGGAGGCCCCTGGCAGTGCATCCTGCCTGTACCAGTCTTGCAACCTGTCAGTGACTAGGCCGGACACTCTCCGGTGGTAACCGACAATGGCTTTTAGTGAGATGTTGGATTATTCCTGTTAATCAAATAGAACAAGAGCAGAAGGTTTGTTCAAAACAGACAATGCATTTCCAGATAGCTTTGTGTGGTAGATGCACACTTTCAGGCTCAGAAGCCGCTAGATATTCCCCTAGGAAGATGCCACCCACCATCTGCGAGAGAAATGGAACAAAGCATGTTAAAATGGCAAGAAAATTGAGAAGCAATTGGAGCGGATGTATTGATGACCAGGTTTCCTTTTCAGTTCAGCAGTGGGAACGGACAGGGAGTTAACATCGGGGTCAGTTCTGACAACTGCGAGGGCAACAGAGGGGACCCCTCTCCCTCCCCCACTGCACAGTAAGGCTTGTCCGTCCTGTGGGGTGACCCGGCTTCTCGGTTCTGACTAGGTCATGAGCAGATCAGTGAAGAAGCAGTGGCTTTTCTGGAACATGCCGTCAGAGGAACAGTACTCTTGCATGAGCCACGTGAAGATGTAAGAAGGAGGCAGAGGAGCCCGCGAGGAAAGCGAGTCCGCCGAGAACCCGGGCTGGAGGCTGCAGCATCTCTCGCACTGTTTTTTCAAAGGCTAACACTTTTGGGAACCAGCAGTTAGCGTAATGGCTATGCCGCTGGACTCCCACGTAGTCGACCGCGGTTCGTGTCCCAGACCCGGTGGCTTAAACTCACGCTGGGCGCGTGTGCGTGCGTGCCCAAGATCCCGAGACGAGAATGGAGGAGAAGGGATTGTGGCGTGGCCATCCCCCCTAGGGGATGATTTCTGACTTTCTATCTCTGTCTCTCTCTGTCTGTCTGGCGAGCACACATGCCCTATAGTGAAAATCTCTCCAAAAAAAAAAAGGCTAACACTTTTTCCTAAGGAACTGCGAAATATTTACTGACATTTGACAGTTCTCTCGGTAACACAGTCAAGATCCCGAGACGAGAATGGAGGAGAAGGGATTGTGGCGTGGCCATCCCCCCTAGGGGATGATTTCTGACTTTCTATCTCTGTCTCTCTCTGTCTGTCTGGCGAGCACACATGCCCTATAGTGAAAATCTCTCCAAAAAAAAAAAAAGGCTAACACTTTTTCCTAAGGAACTGCGAAATATTTACTGACATTTGACAGTTCTCTCGGTAACACAGTTGGAACATGGACACTCGAGCTCTGCGGAGTGCCTTGGCGGAGGTTCTGTCTACACCACACAGCAGGAGGGGCTCATCAGGAAGCTGTTGGTGCACCTGACCACGCCGGCTAACGACAGTCTCCACGGAGCCTCCCTGGAACCGGAGATGAAACAGCACACGACGTCGCGTGCAGTTACACTTTTAATCAAAGCACAGGGGAATTCTCTGACGTCAGCCTCCACCTTGTGCCGCGGTGGAGACGTCCACCCAGGGCTGGCAGTGCTCAGCTTTACTCCAGAGCTGTCTCTGTTGCAATTCAGTCTTCATTCACCAAAGTGACCCACAATTCACAGAGTGGTGACGGACTGTTCTTTGTCTCAATTGGAGTCGACACTGAAAGCACCGAGGATTGTCCGTCCTCACGAGAAACGACAGACAGCCTGTGCCGGACCTTCAAAGCCATGGCCACACCCGACATTGTCCCCTTACGCCAGCCCCACGCCAGCCACTGCTCACATAGTAGGGCTTGTCTTTTGGTAACGGAACGGCCTGTCTAACGTGAATAATGCTCTAGTCAGCCTCTTTATTCCTGTGTCCGTTTCTACCTAAGCCGTGGAAGAGGGATCCGCAGGACCGAAGCCACGGTAGGCATGGGCCATGATGGGGGACTCCCGGGGAACACTGGCCCATGTCCCTGAAGTGTGGAATGTGGGAAGTTTGAAGGGTGAAGCACTGACATCGTATTTGTCCGGAGTGCAACAAAGGCACTGTCCTAGACAGCGAGGAGGCCGACACCGCAGGGGGAGGAGATGAACTGCCTACTTTGTTATTAAGGCCAAGGCTCGGGTCCGATTGAAATCCAAAGTGAAACGTCCTTGATATTAACGCAGCTGGGACAGACTAGACAGACTCCATTTCCTACTGGAGTAGGCTGGCAATGCTGGGGGGAGGGATAGGGATGGAAGAAGGGCTCGAACACAGGACCTCCTCACAAGCACACTGCGTGCATTCCCCACACCCTGCGCGGCACAGCCAGCACCTTCCTCGTGAGGTCCAGATGGCACTGAAGCCATTTCCAGTGGGGTTCTCTTTTATTTGCAGGGTAAATAGGAAAGGACTTCTGATCCCAAACCTTGCTAATGCAGAGGCAAGGCTGCGTTTTCAGGGTATGAGAGGTAAGGGACCAGGGTCTGCATCTCCCCTCGAAGAGCCCAGCCCTCGCGGCCCAGGGAAGTGATGACACGAGAAACGGGTTCCTGCGATGGGGCGGGCACCTTTGCCACCCTGGGAGCTTCGCCATGTTTGAAAACGAGCGTGTTCTTTAGTTTGCCATGGCGATCGCCAAGCGGGTAAATCGATACAGTCGGAGGTCAGTTCATTACCGTCCAGGTCCCTTTTTAAGGGTAGCAGATATCCTCACAGAGAAGCGGGGAGAGGCAAAGGCAGACGAAGACACGAAAGCACAGGCTGGAAATGCGTGGATTCAGAAACCAGTGGAAAGAAAGCAGAGCTTTAAAAGAGCCTTAAATTATTCACATGCCGCACCACGGGGAAGCAAGGTTTCTCTGGACCACTCCTTGTCAAAAGTTCTGCTGTTTCCAGAAATAGCGGACTTAATTAAATGTGCAAGGCACACTCGAGTGCCCCGACTGCCACACACGGGGACTCGGGAGCCACTGAGAAGACTGCAGGGAGCACCTGGCCTAGCAGGCTCAGAGACGAATGGAGAAAGCTGGTCTTCGGGGCCAGAGCACGCAGGGCTGGTGTGCCTCAGAGAGCTGTCACAGCCGGACACGCATCATGGGGAAAGAACAATGTTGAAAGATCAGACATTAAACAAGCTGCAAAAGATTTAGGTTCTTTTAAACTCCTTATATGTGCCAAGGTAGTTCACATGGATTATCTTCATTAAATCTTAAAACAATTCAGACAACATGGATATTATTGCCTTATTTTTTTATTTTTATTTTTTTGAGAGGTTTTTGCTATAGGGCGTATGCTCACCAGAAAGACAGAGAGAGACAGAGAGACAGAAAGCGAGAAATCACCCCCCAGGAGGAATGGCTACACCTCAATTCCTTCTCCTCCATTCTCCTCTTGGGATCTTGGGCACACACGTACACATGCCTGGTATGAGTTTAAGCCACCCGGCCCAGAACTCGAACTGCGGTCAGCTACATGGGAGTCCAGCAATATAGCCATTACACCAACTGCTGGTTCCAACTATTGCCCTATTTTTAAGACACATAAGCTGAGACTTGGAGGAGGCCAAAGGTAATAGTGTGCTCAAACCCAGGGTTCTGACGGCAAGCCCACAGCCACTTCCGTTACACCTACTGGCTGTCCCTGCGATGAAGACATGCAGTCAGTGCGTGCTGTCCCTGGTCAGCAGAAGTCTCTGGCAGTGCACTGGAAATACTCCACCCATTTAACCGAATAAGCACATCTTTGAATAGCACGGTTAGAACAGACTTGGGTGTTCAGGAGCGTAAGACCGTGTGGAGCATCCAAGTGAT